ACAATATAGGGACAAAGATCCAATAACTTCTCTCTCAAAGTTGAAAAGATCTCCTGAAGGTCACAATGTGGTACGAGATATAGGAATCGACCCTGTAATAGTGCTTTTTGGTAGCATCACCAAAATCAAGTCTATAACCACTTGATGAAGATAAAAGATTGCTGTTTATGCATCGATGCAACAGGAAAAATAGTGCAGAAAGTGGAACATGTAGATGGACAAATGTCGCAACAGTTTTTTTTATACCTTGGTGTTTTGTCTGCACCAAATGCGCAGTTTGCTGTTCCGTCAATGTTTTCAGAACGTCAAGATACTGCTAGCCCTGGTGAATTGGGTAAACCGAGATGTAACCGAATTGGGTTACGATTCGGTTACGTTTCGGTTACTTGTGAAAAATTGTCGTTAATCGACGAAATATATTGTAAATAACTATTAGGAATGGTTAATAGACATTTAGAGGTCTTATTTAAACAATAATAACAATAAATTAAGATATAATTACTCAATAATAAGTGTTTTAAGTGTACAATGCATACAGTTGTTGAGTTACCATATATGTATATTACCATCAGCGGGAGCTGTGATACCCGCTTTAAACAGTAGATGGCGTTGAAAATTACTTTGTGAATGAATTTCTAAAATTAAACTTTAGAGTGTCAAATGTGTAAGTGAGTATAAGTTTTAAAAAAATAGATCGATTAATTGAAATAACTTTTTTCATTTCTACAAATATAAAAAAAAAATTTCTCAATAAAAATTTTTTTCTAACACACATATCGAAAGTACACCTTTTTTTACCTATAAAGGGGGAGAAAAGTATGTCTTTCCCGGCGAGCGGGAGGGAAAGTACTTTCCCTCCCTGTCAGTGACGTCAGCGGGAGGGAAAGTAACTTTTCCTCCCCGTATAACGTCAATTTTTATTTCTGTTGTTTATAGAACATTAAGAAGAACAAGAACAGTATATTATTCAATTTACTGTCAAACTATCAATTCGAAATATCGAATTTAAGTTAATGTTGATATTTCGATATATCGAATCAAATTTAAAATTGATAATCACGTAAAGAATTAATATTACTAATTGCTCAAATTTTTCATTAAATATTAATAAGTAAATTAAACAAAAGTATTGATCAGATTTTAATTAATTCAATGTAATTATTTAAATTAGTTATAATTTAAACCAAAAACATAATTTAATCTCAATGTAGTCGACTTACTATAAATGTTATATTTTTCGCTAAAATTTAATAATAAAATACCGTTTTTAGAAAAATTAACATTCTTTATTTTTAATCTATGTACTTTCGGTATGTGAGTTAGAAAAAATAGTATGTGCAACTCGGGAGGAAAATGATTTCCGTCTCGTGTATTTGCAGTTCTCGTCTTCGCTCGCAAACCCTCGCCTTCGGCTCGGGCACTCGCTAAGTCTCGAACTACAAACTAAACTCGCAGAAATCAGCCATTTTCCTCCCTAGATGCACAATATACTATTTTTTTCTCAATGATATGAGAAAAATTAACTGTAACACAAAGAAATCTATTTTTCCCTAAAAAAATTATTTTCTTAATAATAATTTTTTTTCACAATAAAATGAAAAGATTAATTTTTACACAAACAAATTTTTTTCTTAATAAAAAATTTTAGTTTTTCAATGAAATGAGAAAAAGTAATTGTGACACAAAAGAAACTTTTTTCCTCAATAAAATAAGAAATATTAATTTTGAAAAAAAATTTTTTCTTCATAAAAAAATTTCTTTTCTCAATGATAGGAGAAAGATTAATTTTGACAGAAAAAAAAAATTTTTTTGTTCCTAATAAAATTTTTTTTTATATACAAATGAAAAAAGTTGTTTTAATAAATCAATCTATTTTTTTAAAACATATTCACTTATTTGACACTCAAGGGTTTAATTTTAGAAATTCATTCACAAAGTAATCTTCAACGCCATCTAGTGTTTAACGCGCGTATCACAGCTGCCATTGATGGTAATACACATATGAGAGATTCTTTTTCAATCGCCCCAGCCCAAAAAGTCAATGTTCTGGGATTGGCTTCATACTTTGGTAAATTGTTCTCCTATATGATAGTAATAAATCCCTAAAATATAAACTCATTAAAAAAATATTTGTAGAAAGTAGAGGGGGTTGAAGTTTTGACGTTAAGGGTAACATTGTCATTTTCAAATCCGTTTAACTATGACAAAAGTTAATGGATTTTAATTTATCTATAATGAATTTTATTGCATTTTTCACGTACTTTTCAAAAATGTATACGAAATTAAAAAAAAAAATTTTTAACCCCTTTTTTTCAAAATCAACCCTTATTTTTCGATTTTCACCCCTTCAGGTATTTTTTTTTTTTTTTTTTTATTTTCATTGGAAAGCTGAGGTTTTTTCCCATGAGCTATGTAAATATGAAAATGGGACAACAATAATTTTGTGAGTAACAGAATATTAAAGTAGGCGGTGCCGATAAGGGGTGTACCTGGAGATCATCTTTGAGGATTTAGATAGGCACCGCCTAATTTAATATTATGTTTCTCACAAAATTATTGTTGTCCCATTTTCATATTTACATAGCTCATGGGAAAAAACCTCAGCTTTCCAATGAAAATAAAAAAAAAACAAAAAAAAATTCCCGAAGGGGTGAAAATCGAAAAATAAGGGTTGATTTTGAAAAAAAGGGGGTCAAAAATTTTTTTTTTAAATTTTGTATACATTTTTGAAAAGTACGTGAAAAATGCAATAAAATTCACTATAGATAAATTAAAATCCATTAACTTTTGTCATAGTTATACAGATTTGAAAATTACAATGTTACCCTTAACGGCACCCTTATCGGCACCGCCTACTTTAATATTCTGTTACTCACAAAATTATTGTTGTCCCATTTTCATATTTACATAGCTCATGGGAAAAAACCTCAGCTTTCCAATGAAAATAAAAAAAAAAAAATACCCGATGGGGTGAAAATCGAAAAATAAGGGTTGATTTTGAAAAAAAGGGGTTAAAAATTTTTTTTTTTTAATTTCGTATACATTTTTGAAAAGTACGTGAAAAATGCAATAAAATTCATTATGGATAAATTAAAATCCATTAACTTTTGTCATAGTTATACGGATTTGAAAATGACAATGTTACCCTTAACGTCAAAACTTCAACCCCCTCTACTTTCTACAAATATTTTTTTAATGAGTTTATATTTTAGGGATTTATTACTATCATATAGGAGAACAATTTACCAAAGTATGAAGCCAATCCCAGAACATTGACTTTTTGGGCTGGGGCGATTGAAAAAGAATCTCTCATATATGGTATCTCAACAACTGTATGCACTGTACACTTAAAACACTTATTATGCAGTAATTATATCTTAATTTATTCTTATTATTGCATAAATAAGCACTCTAAATGTCTATTAACCATTCCTAATAGTTATTTACAACATATTCGTCGATTAACGACAATATTTTACAAGGAACCGAAACGTAACCGAATCGTAACCCAATTCGGTTACAACTCGGTTTACCCAATCCTCCAGGGCTAATCTGTACATGACCTAATTATTATTTATCCTAATCTTTATTCAATCTAATCCTCATTTGCATTAATCATCATTATAATTATCATTTGAAAGAATTTTCATCTGGCCTAATAATCATTTGGACTAAACGCCGCTTAAACTACTTTTCATTTGATCTAGTCATTATAAAACTTAATTTTCATTTGGCATAATCATACTATAACCTAATTGTTATTTGTTCTAATATTTATGTGACCTAATACCCATTTGGCCTAATTTTAAATTATCCTAATTATTATTTGTTCTAATATTAATCTAACATAATTCTAAATTCGCCTAATCTTAATGTAACCTAATTCTCTTTTAGTCTAATCCTCATTTCTGCCGTCCAAAGTAAACAAGCCGCAAACAACTATGTTTTTATTGTTAATTATTTACTTTTTTACTTTGTACGGTAGATTTGATCTAATTCTTACTTGGCCTAAACTTCATATATCACTCGCTTATGAACGTGACTCATAAGAGAGAATAGAACAAAAATATGTTTTGTCATTTTCTCTCTCATGCTTCGCGTTCATTAGCGGGTGACAAATGAAATTTAGGCCAAGTGAAAATTAGATTTATTAGGCCAATTTAGAATTATGTTAGATTAATATTAGAACAAGTAACAATTAGGATAATGTAAAATTAGGCCAAATGAGAATTAGATCAGATAAATATTAGAATAAATAACACTTAGGTTATAGTATGATTAGGCCAAATAAGAATTAGGTTTTATAAAGATTAGATCAAATGAAAATTAGTTTAAGCGGCGTTTAGTCCAAATAATAATTAGACCAGAAACAAATTATCTCAAATGATAATTATGGGAAATGGTGTTTAGGCCAAGTAATAATTAGGTCAAATAAAAATGAGGCTAAAAAAGTATTAGATTACAGAAAATTTAGGCCAAGTGAAATTTAGGGCAGATAAATATTATATTAAATAAGAATTAGATTAAATTAAGATTATGCCAAATGAGAAGTAGGACAAATGAAGATTAGTACAAATTAAGATTAGACTGAATGGAGATTAGGACAAATGATAATTAGGTCATATACAGATTAGGCCGAGTAATAATTAGTCCATACGACTTTTAGGCTAATTGAATTTAGGTCAATTAAGTTTTAGGCCATTTGAAATTTGGAGAAAATTCATGCGCCTCTTTCGCAGGACCCAAAATTTCTATGTATATGGTGCGGGGTTCTTTACAACTTTGGTGCTATCTGGGTAGCTATAATATATCATCCATTTGACCAAAAGTCAACCCCAAAGTCAAATTCACTTCCATTTGATAAATAATATTTCACGTTTTTCTTTAAACATTATTGAAATTGGCATACATCGGCTTATGTTAAATAAGATGGTTTGACCCTTTGATTACATTTTGGTTAAAGTAAAATTAATTTTTTCCAACGTACTATACATACATACCTATGTCAATATAGATGTCCAAGTCAGAATTTTTAAAGCATAATCCGGTTGAAGTTGATCCGAACATGTGTATGCGACTTTTAGGTAATGTTTGTCGCAGTAATTTATTTAAGCTTTCACATACTGGTTCGTATGTAGATTGAATATCGTCATCACTCAATGTTAGTTTATTTAAAAATGAAGCCAACTCATTATCAAAATCAGAATTATTATCTAATATATTGGGTTTCAATTTTTCTTGTCTTTGCATTTCGCTATATTGATACGTTTTTTTTTAAATTCTAATTAATTTTTCTGTAAAAGACAAATTTATATAATTCGTATGTGAGATTCATAAATGTAATGAACTTATTCCACAGCACTTTTAAAATTGTAGCAATATTGTCAAAATTACCCACACAGCATTGAAAATTCCTAGAAGATTCATTGAAGGTTTATATGTTGTTAATTAATAATAAATAATTAAAAATTTTCTTTATTAATGAAATTTTTACAAATTATTAAATGATAAATAAAATAAAGTCCAGAAAAAAAATTATATTATCAAAAATATTGTTAAAAAATTGTTATATCAAAAATATATTGTTAAACAAGTAGGGGGTCCTTTATGTTTATTTCATAAACATTATGCTTCCTCATTGTGTGAAGCAAAAAATTTGCTTCCTCGTGAAGGAAGCAATGAATTTGTCCAATTCAATTGATTGATTTAAAAACTTTCGAATTAAAAATGTTTTAAATTAATTAAATTTTTTGAAAAACAAAGAAAATTTTAATTGATTTTGAGTGTAACATAAACTTTATATATACGAATCGATTCGTTTTAATGCAAGGAATACAATTATTTTATTCATCAACTTGAATTTAAAAAAACACAAAATTTTTTAGCTAAAATATGAATTTTCGATTTTTCAATTTTTATTAATTCTCAAATTTTAAATCAAATCTATACTTTTTATATACCAACCAATTCGTTTCAATGCAGGGAATAAAATTATTTCATATACATATAAACATGAATTTAAACAAACACATCATTTTTTAGCTAAAATGAGAATTTTTGATTTTTTAACTTTCTTTAATTCTTTAAATTTCAATCAAATCTATACTTTATATATATCAATCGATTCATCTTGACATAAAGAAGACGATTATGTTATATATTACCTTAAATTTTTCGATTTAAAAATTTTTTCAATTAAAAAAAATTTTTTGGAAAAAAGACGATAAAAATTTTTTTTTGGGGTATTTTTAAAAATCCTCTCGTCATTTTTGAGAGATTAATGTGTTAAATAAGCCTACCAAATTTTATCCAAATCCATTAAAACCTGTTAAAGATATCGTGTTCACAAAAACGATCTACACACACATACACACACACACACACACACACATACACACACACATACATACATCCGGACAATTGATCAGGATCTCATATAACATGTTTCTATATAGAGGAAAATTTGTTTTCACCATTTTTAAAAAGTTTATAAACGAAAGGACTACATAGCTTCCTCCACGAGGAAGCAAAAACAATTTTTTAACCAATATTTCCTTTAAAAATTAATCTTTTTGAGGCATATTTTTTATAAAATAATTTTTTTTTTGCTAATACTTTTGGTTTAAAAAATAATTTTTTTCAGCCACATATTTTTCACCAACATTTGCCATAAAAAATTATTTTTTTCAACAATATTTTTGATAAAAAAATGTATATTTGATAAAAAAAAATTAATTTTAATCAACAATATTGGTGAAAATAATAAATTTTTTCATCAAAAAAATATTACCCTGCTAAAACTAAAATCAGAAATGTTGATTTTTTGAGACTATTTTGATGTTTTGTGATGCTGCTGACATCCAAAAAATTTTATAAATAGTTAAAAATTTAAAAATTGAATAGTTAATTTCTATGAAATTTTTTAATATGTATGTATTTGAAATCCTCAGGTGAATTTTTTTTTATTTCTTTCAAACCGCTTATTTAATTTTACCAACTACAATTTACCTTTTTTATATATTTCTTTCTTCCAATAGAAAGGTTCTTTTGAAGGTCCTTCAGGTTTTATGACTTTTTAACGCAAAATAAAAAATTATCAATTTCTGTGGTGAAAATGGGAGGAATCCAAAAAAATTATAAAAATTAAGCTCAAAAAACTAAAAAATTTATGAATTTTTGATTTTTAGCCACGCCTGAAGCTTATACAGTTTATCGGATTCGCATGAAACTTACAAATAATATTAATTAGGTTTTAATCTCAATATACATTTCAAGAAATTTCAAAACACTTAAAAAATTTTAAAAATTATCAATTTTTTATAAAAAAAATTTTTTTACTTGATATTTACGTAGACGTGGAGCTCATAATTCTTTACCGATTCGCATAAAACTTACCAAAACTATCAATTATGTTAAAAACTCGATATATAATCAAAAAAATCTGAATACAATTAAAAATTTTTGAAATTTTCAATTTTTTACGCAAAAAAATTGAATTTTTTTATAAGTAGACACACCTGGAGCCGATTTGCACGAAACTTACCAATAATATCAATTAGGTTAAAATCCCGATACATAATTGTGGATATTTGAATACATTCAAAACAAGTTGTAAATTCAGATGTTCATTACATGAACATTTTGCATCCTCTTTACGATCAGAAAAAAATTTGCTTCCTCGTGGAGAAAGCAAAATTTTATAGCCAAAATGTGAATTTTTCATTTTTTAACTTTCATTAATTCTTTAAATTTTTCTCAAATGTATACTTTATATATATCGATCGATTCGTCTTGACGTAAGGAATACGATTTTATTATATAACCTTAAATTTTTCTATTTAAAAATTTTTTCGATTAAAAAAAATTTTGGAAAAAAGACGATAAAAATTTTTTTTGGTGTATTTTTTAAAATCCTTTGGTCAGATTTGAGATATTAATATGATAAATGAGCCTACCAAATTTCATCTAAATGCATTAAAACCTGTTAAAGTTATCTTCTAAACAAGAAAGGGATCCACACACACATACATTCACACACATACATACATCCGGACAATTGATCAGGCTCTCATATAACATGTTTCTATAAAGAAAAAAATTTGTTTCCGCCACTTTGAAAAGTTTTATAAACGAAATGACTACAAAGCTTCCTCCACGAGGAAGCAAAATTTTGAAATTTTTAATTTTTTATTGTCTTTGACAACATTATGTTTGTTTAAGAAGTTTTTTTAAAATTTTTTCTTTTCTTTTCTAACTTATTAAAATGTGATACGCGGGACCTGATCCGACTGTTTAAATCTGAAATTCATAAAAATATAGATCTGATAGAGATATGCTTCTAAGATGATTCAGCACTGAATCATGACATTAAATGATACTTACAAAAAGTTTTGAAATCCGAACAAAAACATCTTCGATGCAAAAAGTTACGCAAAGCAAAAATTATCTTAACCATCGAAACAATTCGTGAAATGAATGTTAGCCAACCAAACCCAATTTGCAGGGATCTATACTCTTTTGGCATAGGACCCTGCAAATTAGGTATGTTTTTTTACGAATATTGTTGTGACTAATACAACTTTTTTTTGACGAACTCGATTTTTTGATTATCGAGTGTTGTATTGTTAACTTAACTCAATAAAGAGATACGTTAACTTAAAGAGTTAAAATAAATTGAAGTCAACTAGGTTAATATAAGAGAGAGAGAGAGGATTTCAACTTATAACAATTATTTATTTTCAAGAAAAAGATCCTTAGTCTAGGACCGTTGGTAAGATTCTGCCGGAATCAATCATGTCCTGAATGTCGGAGACCAAAAAATACATGGTGGGGGTAAGAAAAATAGTGGGAGTAAACCAAAATGGAGATACAATTTTAAATACATTTAATGTTCAATTTGTAGACAGTTCCGTCGCATCATAAAATTTATTGATATAATCCCTTGGTGCGACGAAGCGGAGTACCAATAGTTTGAACATAGTTATTTCAAATATAAAAGGTCCTAGGTTTACAACATAGCCAATATAGATAAGTAAATCTATCTGTTCGACGAATCTTTAAGAAATTATTAAGTGTTAATATAAAGTAATAAACTAAATCTTTAAATATTGTCAGACCTCACGTTTAGGGACAATTCAATTTTAAGAAGCAAAAAAAATAGGTAATAAAGCAAAAAAGATAAAAATAAACTTTCTAAACATCTATTGAAAGTCTCAACAAATATCGTAGAAAGCGCACGCGCGAAAGTAGTATAGTTACTGTCGCTACTACAATCGCTTGATTTTTTTCTCTGTGTATAAATAATTAAATTTAAAAATAGGAAATTAGACAAATTATAATTTTAAAATATGGATGCTATGTAGAAAAAAAGAATTGTTTTGTTCTAAATATGAATTGGAGTTGATAATTATCAAATTAATTGAAATCAATTTTTTGGTTACGAAAAATTTCTATCGTACGCGCAGTTATGAAAACTTGACGTTAATTATTTTTAAATATTAATTAATAATATTTATTATTTAATATATTTATATCTTTCATTAATTTTTCGTTAATCCACTTGCAATAGTATCTGTAAAAAATAATTCACGCTAAGTTTTTATATCTGCGTGTACGATAGAAATTTTTCTTAATCAAAAAATTGATTTCAATTAATTATTTTGATAATTATTAACTCTAATTCATATTTAGACCAAAATAATTTTTTTCTACACAGCATGCATATTTTAAAATTATAATTTGTCTTATTTCCTATTTTTAAATTTAATTATTTATGTTAAAATAATTAATTAAAACTTAACATAATCATATAATTTACTTGGCTAATATTCATTTCACGAATTGTTTCGATGGTTAAGATAATTTTTGCTTAGCGTAACTTTTTGCATCAAATATGTTTTTATTCGGATTTAAATTTAAAAAAAAAATTTTTAAACGTTATATTTGTATTTAGATTTTAACGATTCCAATGATATAAAACTTTATGTAAAAACTTAAAAATTACATAATGATTATACAACAATCTACTCCATTAATTAACATTAATTTTCAATAATTTCAAAATATCTTTGACATTTAATATCTAGAAAACAAGAAAATCGGCATTCTGAAAATTTATATACAGATCGGAAAAAACCTTAGCTTTCGTTTGCAATTATTTATTTAAAAAAAATCACATCGATTTTAGTGAAAATAGCAAATTTATGTTTAATTATAGAAAATCAAGGTCAAAATTCAAAAATTTTAAAAAACCAAATTCACCATTGGAAAGAGCATGAAAAAACCTTCAAAAAAC